TTCTCTGTCCTAAGGTGCCTAAGGCTATTTTATTAAAAAGAGAAAAAAATGCCCATATACTCTAGCAAGTCATAAGCAAGTCCATGCATAGATAAATTCATATTTTCCTAATTAAGGTTATTTACATTTTAAAAAATCTGGGCCATTCCTCCCCTTGTGGCTACTTGTTCTTTGATTAACTCCACACTACACTATTTCAGTTTTTCTTTTTGGCCATTTCAACACATCTGTGTTCATTTTCCCCTAAATTAATTTGCTTGCTGGTTGCCGGTTTCTAAGTGTGAAGTCATTTCACGTGTTCATCTGTGTAGGCACAGCCGACAGCAAGCAGACACACTGTTGACTTGATCTGACTTGCCGGCTCTGACGCAGGAAAGCATGAACAGACTTCTCCACCCCAAGCTCCCTGGGGTGGGGCGTGGTGGGATGGGGTCAAAGGTGCTCCTCCCCCCCTACCTAAGGCTTCCCCATCCTCCACTCCAAATTTTGGCCACCTGAGCCTCACCTATTTCTACTCCTTCCATTCTCTGTGGTCTGGAAAACAGGGAATTGAGTCAAAACAAGTAACTTATCTAACCAGCACATTCTGGGAAACTGTGTTACTGTCATCTCTTCACATTGGCACTCTTCTATCTGCTGCAGATATAAGCAGATCAGTATGGATAAGGCAGTGAGCAGTTACTTGGAACTCCATGATAAATTACAATGATCAAGGGCTGGCCGGTTTTTTCTTCTGCTAAACTGTTAACTGTATTTCTTCTTTAAAACGCCATGAACTATAAAATACATACAATAAATGACAAATTTAAATGTATTTTGATGATTTTTGACACCTATGTTGCAAAACCGCTAACATGGCAAACATTTCATTAACTTCAAATCAATTTCCTGGTAGTATGGCCAGTTTGTTCCTTTAATCTGAAAGCTTCCTTGGTTTTGAGGGAATCTGACCTCAACTAGAAGCCCAGGGTTTCACATGGGATCACTAGTAGTATTCAATAAGTTTACAGTACTCTGCTCCAAAGTCACCTTTTCCTTGGTGGGCCGGGGAAACCAACAAGACTTCTGATTCATGCTAGTCCTGGGGTGCACACTCGGTCTCTGATAAGAGGCAGTAAATCTGCCCGCTGCTTGTTTATAATGAGTCATGCCAGAAGTCAGGCACTTCCTTTCTTTTTTCCCTCTCTCTCTCTCATGTCATGGTTAGGCAAGAATCAGAGGCAGATACACTCCCATTCAAAGTGCAGTCATCCTTAAAGTGTCCAGTAACTGCAGCGTGGCTAGCTTAGGACTCCTGACTCAATGGGGCCCCCTACCGATGAGGCCAGGAGTGCCTCTTTTGGACTTGCGTTTGTGTCTTTCCCACCTCTAGGGGAGGGAGATGGTGGTGAGTTACAGATTCGGAAGAGGAATGGGAAGCAGCTGCTGACTTCTCAGTGCATCCTTGCATCCGGTCCGCCCCACTCCCACCCATTCTATTAGTGACAGTGTGTCGTGAGTCACAACTTTTAGCCTATGCCCACACCGGAGCAATTAACCACATAATTGCCTCAAGGATGAACCTTCCCCGAGCTGCAAGCCACCCTCATGGTAGAGCTCTGGGCTACAGGCCAACAGTCTTCAGTTGCATGAATTGTTAAGGTCCAGGTTGAAAAAGTCCAAGTTCAATTCTTTTAGCCAATGACTTCTTGGCCCTGATTTAAAATTCCTATACACAAGTCCTGATGGGAGCATAGAGATGTTTTAACTAGAATTAATGTCATGATCAAGTCAACATAAAGCAGATTTATCTGTTTCAATGCACTAAAGCAAAGTGCTCTGTTTTGAGAACAAATCACCATAGCAACTTGGCTGCCCCAGTTACAGTACGACCAAAATAAAAATCCTTTGGAAGTTTTGGGATTGGCTAGTAAGAGTTGCTGAACATCAACTTTCAGTTTCCAGGTGACATTAGCCAGCACATATTTTGATTTCATAAACCACTGAAAGGGATGCTTTAAATTATAATAAAATTATGAATCCAAGTTGCAAACAGAGGGGTTCTTGGCCTTGCCTTAGCCAGCTTAAACACACACAGACCTCACTGCCAAAGAGCACCACTGCATTGTTAAAACTTCAGAAAGGGGCTCGTTGTTATTTACTGTGGCCTACCAGTTCTGTTCCAAGTAGGGATTACACATGGTAACATAACACACTGGTCTTTAAGAAGCAGCAGATCAATATGCAAACAGGCTTTCTGTAGGTGTGAGAGGAAGAAAAGCAAAAAATACTTTTATTTTTTCCTCCACCTCCAGATCCTTCAACACCCAGTTTGGGTCTGAATTATTTCTTCTCTCCCAGGAATCTTTCTTCTCCCAGTCTGCTCTTTTATCTGGCTCCTCAACTGACAAAATCACCTTTGACCTGCTGTTTGTCCTGTTCTTTCCCTCCTTCCTCTGACTTCTCCCTGAGGCTGGGTTGCAGCCCAGGCTCTTAGCCACCATCCGGGGAGGCCGGGCTTTCTTCGTGGCACCCTAAGCCACAGCATTTGGATTAGTGGACACTCATGTTGAGGTGACCCCGAGGAAGCCTCTCCTGCCTTTTACTCTGGTTGCTGTGGGAGTCCGTCCTCCTGCTCTTCTTCCTTTTATTGTTTCCTCCACCTTCCCAGCTGAAGGTAGGCATTTTTAAAAGTTCTATCTGTGGCTCCTTTCATTAAAAAAAAATCTCGACCATTTATTTTTTGGAGGCTTTTAACTCTTTTTTCAGTTCAGATGTCTACTACATATTCTGTTGTGACCGTCCCCTGACCCTTGATTGTCTCAAATCAATTCGATTAAACTCTGCTTTTCCTTTTTCGACCCCCAATCCTCCCAAAACAAAAGAACAAACAAAACAAAACAAAAAACTGGGTTCTTTTCCAAAATATTTTTGTAAAATAATCTCATCACTTCTTGAATCCACACCTAAAATCTGGGCATTACTGAGCGTCTCTTAGGCATCTATTTCCTTTGCCAGATTGCCTTTCTTGGCTGCTGTTCTAATTTATATTTTTTCCATTTTCAAAGTCATCTTCCTAGTTCTGTCTCCCATTACAGGTTGCTTATATCAATACAGTGGCCTCACAAGTGGGTATTCCTGCCAATCCTTCTTCCTGCCAGTAAGGAATGGTGGGTAAAAGAGGAGAAATAATCTGCATTTATTTTCATTCCTTATTCTCTTGGAGTCTTTTAGTCTTCTATCTGTAAAGATAACAAATACCAGTACCTGCCTGCCACACTGTATGTGCTCAATTAGCATTAGCTCCTTTCTATTATAAATTCAGACTTCTTTGGTCACATCTTAGCCTCACTTTTCAATGGAAATAAGAACCCCTCAATTTGGCATGGTGGTGCCCACCTGTAATCCTATCACTCTGGGAGGCTGAGGCAGGAACAGGTTAAGGGCCCAGCCTGGACAATTTAGTGACTTGGATCCTATCTCAGAATAAAAAACAAGGGTTGTGGATGTAGCTTAATGTGAAGGCTCTGGGTTTTATCTCCAGGACCTCACACACAGGCCCTCATTCCAGCCCTTGAGCACCTCCAACAATATGGCTTTAGTGTGTTGCTTCCCTTTCACTGTTCATGACTCTTTTAAAGTCCATTATTCTATTTCCTACTGTTTCTTCACAGACCCGATGAACTTGGCTGTATTGCAACACTTTTGTCTGCTGACATCCTTGCTCTTAAAACTCATTTTAAATTCTTTCTCTGCTCCAAGGCCACTCACTCCCAATAGGACCTCTTCCTCTGACTTCCAAGCACTCACATTTCTCCTGTGGTATTTTTGTGCTTCTTTTTACTCATTTTCTGCCTTTGACTTCCCTTCAGTGCAGGATTGAGTGTCCCTTCATGGTAAAGGACCATTACAGCACTAAACCCAGCCACAGCTCTGTACGTTATGTGATAAGTGCCTGACACTGAAAAGAGACCTACTCAGTTACGCTTTCCTGATTCTACTAAACCATCTTCACCCAGCCTCTGTTGGGTGCAAAAATAAAGCTGCACAGGGAGCTGAATCTGTTTCTCAGTGAAAGGCATTCTCCAACACCAAATTCTGCATCTCAAAATTGCATGAAAGGTTTCAAATATGCTGTGATGCCATTAGACTCAATGTACTACTTTCATGAATCAATCCTAGGTTACCGCTTTGAAATCACAAGGGGATTTTGTTTACCTTCCAGCTCTGAGAGTTGTGTTCTTCTCATATATAGATACTTTGATCACACAAATAGATCCCTGGGAATATCTCAAAGTTCTTTTCATTCATCAATGAGTCTCTTTAACATTGACAGTCAATGGCTTCGCAGAAAAGGAACTCAGATAAAATACTGACAATATACTAGTACCTTAAAGTTCTTCATAGTTATTAAAGTTAACATATATGCAAACAACATATATTTATAAATATATATATAACACACATATAATTTCCTTTTGTACTTTACAAGGTTTAATTTCGGGATGTATAAGGTTGGAAATAGGTTTTATCATTAAACTATAGGCATCATGGGAGTTTACATTGGCAATACTATCACAAAATATAATTTTCAAAAACTAAAATCATACCTCATAAAAAAGAAGCCAAAAATTGTAACTGAATTAATGAGGAAATCTGGAAGTTTAAGAGTGGTTGGAAAGAAAGCCAAAGGCCTGCAGATTTAGTTGAATTGTCACAGGAATAGAGAAATAAATGTGCCCCCAAATGCCAAATAATAAAAGGGTGTACCTGGACAAGAATCCTTTGTACTGTCATATTTTTCTACAAGTTAACCTCCACTTTATCATTGAAAACAGCCTTTCTCATCAGCCAGCAGAAGGTACAGTGCAGTTTCCCACACTCTGCCCCGCCCCAACCTTTCACTAGGGACTCTGCATCCACTTGGGTTTCAACATATAGGTCCACCATCTACCATCAAGTGACTCTGTGCAAATCACTTAAATCTCTCTGCTTTTCAGTTTCATCACTGTAACAGAGGATTAAATAATAAATAAGCTTTATTGTGAGGATTACATGAAATAATGCACAAGTGCTCAATAAATGTGAGTCATAGCATCACTACTAAAGGAGGGTCATTAGCCTGTCAGTCTTTATTTATACATTAGAACATTCTGAGAAATAATGTTTTACATCTTATTAAAAAGGGATACAGATCTCACTTTAAAGCAGACACACAATCATTAAATCATTGAAAGGAGCCAATTCATAAATAATTAAGCTTAAGAAATGATAAGTCGCAGAGGTGTCAAGGGACAATTCACTTCTTCCAATTTTGATGTTAATGAAATGAAAATGTACCTGGTGGTAGTAGTAGACAATTAACTTTGTTAACATGGCCCAGGATTTGAACTTGACACACTCATTACGTATCCATAAATGAGAATTTTCCAAAGAATAGGTTTCTTTTTTTCTTAAGGAGACATGCTATGGAAGGGAAAATAAGCAAAAGGAAATATGTTGATGCCTTAGAAGGCGGGTTAGCAGCAAGTCAAACAGCAGAAGTAAAGGTTCAAGAGGTATTTCAGCCTTAATCATTTATTCTGCATAATTAAAAAGAAAATAATTAAATACTCTCTGAATTGTAAATATTTACCAATACATTACTGATAACATATACTCTCCCACTACACACTATTATATTTACTTTGTCCTGAAGATGGGAAGAAAAATATTGAATATATATTTCAATTAAATTCATACACACTTGTTATAGATAGACACATTTCACTTTTGTCTTCCTCCCAAGCCCACTGTGGCTTACACATCTATAAATTAAAAAAAAGACAAAACAAAACAAAACAGCATCGTGATACAGGCCACCAAAAATCTGTTGATAAAAAAGATAATTAAGTACAAAATTCAGAATCAGACAGGAAATAGCTATAAACCAAAACAGAAAGTCAAATAATAAAGAATAACAATTCATGTCTAAGCTTGACTACATTTTAATCCACTAAAACCCGAGAATTTTCTTAAAGTGTAGGTTTTAAAGGGGACTTGTCCAGATGAAAACTGAACACCAAAAAATAATTTCCCTAAAGAAGTTCTCTGATCCAAAGGAAAAATCAAATCATGCTTGAAAAACAAAACCAATAGTACTTGTCTTCCTCCAACTACTTCTTCAGATTTGCTTCATGGAAGGATTTCCTGCATCATTTATCAGGACATTTATTAGTTCTATAATGTTATTGCAATATGACCAAATCTGGACTTAATCATCCGTCTTAAAGGGTTGATGAATGTGGCGATTTTTTCCAATCTTTATGAACTGGGAGTTTAAACTGCATATTGAAAGCACTCAAAGATGTGTAGACAAATGGTCTATTAAGTGTCACATTTTAAGAAACAGGCAGCGCCTAAAGAACAATATTGATGACCACTCTAGATCGTCGTGTATAATTTTAAAGACTTATTAAAAGAAACACCATGGTTTAACAAAATGATTTCTCAGATGTTAAAATTTTTATGCAAAAAAATGTGTAAAATTGGCTGGGTTTTGTGACACATGCTATAATCCCAGCACTCTGGGAGGCTGAAGCCTGGGCAACTTGCTGACTTATTGAGACCTCACCTCAAAATAATATATAAAAAGGGCTGGGGACACAGTCAGGGTGAAGGCCTTGGGTTCAATCCCCAGCACCCCAAAAACCAAACCGAGATGACAAAAAAAGCAAAACCGATATAGAACAATTTCGATTTATCATTTAAAAAGGACTTTTAAAAAGCCATGCACAAGTTCATCAGTAAACTGGATATTTACTGCTTTGAAAGCAAAGTTAGCAAAATGTTAGAAAAGAAAGTTATCATTCTGTAAGATATGCATCTCTAGTTCCTTTACTAAACAATCTTAGACTGTAAAAATTCATTAAAAGTTCGACAAAAATAAGTAGTTATGGATGTAAGAAAAGCTATCCACAACTGGAAAGACACTGAAATATACTTATTTAGTTGGAAAAGAAAGTGGCAGTAAGAATCCTTTACCTCTACTATCTTAGAGAGTTCACTTGAAATCGATTGTAATTCAAATACATACAAGACAGTGCACCTATCTTCATGTCCAGTAGGCATAGCAGCAACTGGCAGATTTTGAGAACTGAGGGATGTTAGAAATAATACATTTAAAAGTGTTATCTATGTTTTACTAGATAACAAAGACTATTTAAAAGGGGATATTTGAGAAGTGCTTAGTTTTGAAAACTATACTATGACTGCAACTCTCGTTGCAGAATGTGGTGCTAAAATTTTTTAATGTAATGAAACAGCAGTAGAAGGCAAGTGGAAATATACAAGAAAAAAAAAAAAAAAAAAAAAAGAAAACGAAGGAAAAAGGAATTACATACCGTAAGCAGAAATGCTAGACTAGGGTGAAGGAACATAATAATCATTGCTATTTGAAGTGGTATGTCTATTTAAGTGTACTATGATTGAACTAACATAATAATCATTACCATTTGAAGTGGTATGTCTATTTTAATATACTATGGTTGAACTCTTCAATAAACTATGAACTATGATTGAACTCAATAAGATAATATAACAGTGAGTGTTAATGTTCATATTGTAATCATTCAAAATTTTTGTATCCTATTCTAGAGGGCCTATGTTTTTTTACCTCTGGGACCAAATGAGCAGCCCAAACTTTGTTTTGCCTTCAACTAATTTTTCTTTGTCATTGTCCTTATTCTCCACAACACCTTGTAGCAGTGATGGTGAACCTTTTAGAGCTTTCAATGATACAAACAGCCCTTGGTGGAACCCACGCCATAGGCTCAGCACCAGTGCTACCAGGTTCTATCATAAACTATCTAGTTCTTGACACTCAATTCATTTTTTATTTTTGAATGAGGAATTAAACTCAGGACTTTGTATTTGCCAGGTAGGCCCTGTGCCACGGAGCTATATCCCCAGCCCAATTCATTCTTGCAGTATCCTTATATACAGTTTTAAACATCTCAAATTTTGTTTTGCAGTGCTAGGGACTTGAGTCCAAGACCATGTGCACACTGGGCAAGCAATATACACTGAGCTCCATTCTCAGCATTGGAGTTCAACATCCATGTATCCCCAGTAATACTCTTATTACAGTTGGCCCTCCCTATCTATGGGCTCTAGATCCATGGGTTTACCACCAATTCAGGACTGAAAATATCTGGGTAAAAAGCTGCATCTGTATTGAGCATGTACAGATGTCTTCTTGTCATTATTCCTTATGCGTAACAGTGTAACAACTACTTACATAGACTTTACATTGTATTAGGTATAAGTCATCTAGAGATGATTTAAAGTATACAGGAGGATATGTGTTGGTTATTATACTATGACATTTTATATAAGGGACTTGAGCATCTACATATTTTGATACCATGGGAGGGCCCTGGAATCAATCCTTCATGGATACTGACAGACAACTACACTGTTAAGTACCAATATAAATCAAGATGCCAATATGAGAGGGCCAGTTACAGTGCTTTTGTTAAAACTGAAGACAATTTGTTTTACAAGGTCCACTGTCTCAGTAGTGTGTGCGACAAACTACAAAATAGCTGACACTGATGAAACACTAAACTATGTGATACAGCAAGCAGAATTCATGTCTACATCAAAATTTGAGGTAGAAAATTTACTGCTCATTACTCAATATATGACAGCTAAGTTAAAGTATCAAAGTTAAAAAACTGCACAAAGATGCTATGAATGTCCTATATGTACACTTCAGTAAAAAGCCAATTTAAATCAATCAGGAGCTTTAAAATGAGATTAATTTATGGACTTTTATATATATATTTTTTCTGAATTTTTATATATTCCGTGTGCTTATCTTCCATTTATCTGCAAGTCTTCTATCTCAACACAAAGGAAAGATAAGAAAATCTTTAAAGTTTTATGGGTCACTTGTTTACTTGTGTCTGAGTCCCTCACAGGGAGGCAAAGAAGATGATATGTTGCCAGAATGGGGCTTGGACTCATGAAAAGCCAGGAAAAGAGATCTTGTGAGACTGTAACTAGTCCTTTAGGCCTAGAACTCTTTGAGACGTAGGGGGCTGAACATTGGTAAAAGCAGAAATTTAAGGGCTCCTTCACCTACACCACCAAGTTTTGTGAACCAGTAATTCATTTCATTTGTAATAAAGGGACATGGAGATGCTTTTGGACAACCAAGTTGTAATACGTTTCCTATGACTTATACTAGGGTGAGCCTAGTCAGTTTTAGAGGTGACGGTCTCTCCTTGCTTCAAAACAGTCTTCAGGAAACACTTGCAGAAAGCACTGCCTGATCTTGACGCACCTCATTTAAAAATGGACTTCTGTAAGTCTGCCAGGGACACTGTAGGGTGGGCAGAGAGTTAAGCAACAGTTAAAAAGATGCCTAAACACAATGTGCAGAGAGGAAGCGTGGCTTCTGGTCCACCAACCTCGGAGTGCAGATCACTAAAAGCATTGGAGAAGTATGAATCACTGAACAAATAATTAATAATGACTTATATGGCTGGCAGAGAACAGTTGGGGAAAGCAGTCAGCAATGAGCAAACAGCGACCACTGTTCACTTTTTCACTTTCCCTTTAGACACCACTTCTGCGTAAGTGGTGTGAATGAAGTCATAAAGCTGCTTAGCATTTGCGGCATGGCCCAGAATACTTGTGAGCTTGTCTTGTGAGAGGGTTGCTAATTCTGCAATGTTCTTAACATGGTTCATCAAGGAGTGACAGTTTTTGGCATTTACCCCTGGCATTTTTAACAAGAAGTCTTGGGGACCAGGATTATACTTTTCTGACTCAGGCAGGGCTTCAGAATCTGCTGTAATGGCCATGGCTGTGGCGGCATCAGGCTGTGGCTTGTTTTGTTTGAGTTCTTCAAACAACTCTGCTGTTGCATGAGGGGAAGGGCACCAAAGAAGGCGGAGTCTGGGGAAGTGAAGCGTGAGAAGAGTGAGTTTGGAACTGATGTCACTGCTGGAAATCTCCTGAAATAAGGCACCTCGGGCTGTGAGAGAGAAGGGCTTATTGGGGTCAAACTCGATCAGAAGCACAGGGCGCTTGTAATAGCGAGACATGGAGATGCACTGGCTGTACAGGCGGCCGTTATTCAGAGAGCCGATCAAGTCACTGATGCTCTTGCGCTCCACACACATTTCTGGTGTCAGGATATAATCTCCAACCTCTAATGTCACAGGTTCAATGTCAATGCCCCGGCGATGGATCAGAGATGGGAGCTCGCTTCGGAATTCACGCATGTCCACAACTATGCTTTGCTGTGTTCCATTCTGTTCCTGGCCGCCTATTAAAAAAGTATTATTTTGAGTCTTGTCACTGGGAAAGAAGTTCCAAAGATAAAAATACAATAAAGCTTAAAATCGATATTTCTGTTGTTAACCTCTGATGGATGGATATATAACACTGTATCTTTCAAAAATCATTTATAGGGAAAGCAAAAGGAAATTACATCTGCTTAAACTAAATAGAAGTAATAAGAAAGTTAGAATCCATTTGTATTTCTCTACATGCAAATGTATGGAAATGTACAAAACATTTGTTTTGCATTGTCTTCTGTGGTTCCACACTATTACACTGACCATATCTGTGTTGACCACTGTACTTTTTGGTTTTAGGACAGAGACTCATACACAGTAGGTGCTTATCATGCTCACTCAGCAAATTGCCTGAGGTGCTGTAATCATTTCATTGAGTTCAGAGATGGGAAACCAGGAACACAGTTTCTCATACTCGAATATGCAGAGAAATCATGCAGGATTGTGTTAGAAAGCAGACTCTGAATTCAACAGGTTTGGAGTATAAGGAACACATCAATAAGTCCGAGGTCTGACGAGTCTCAGGTCACATTTCTAGCAGTGTCATGTGATGCTAATACGGCTGATTGAAGGCGGACACTTTCAAATATCAAGGGTAGTTGTAGGCAGAATTTGGGCTTTCAAAGATGCTCATGCCCCAATCCTTGCAATATGTAAATATTACTTGACATGAGGAGAGGGACTTTATGAATGTGGATACGCATTTTGAGATTAGATTACCCTGGATTTTCCAAGTAGGCCTCAGGGGAAAGTCACTATATCATTGGTTTTAAAGGTGGAGGAAGGGGCACTGAATCAAGGAATGCAGGTGGCTTCTACCTCTGGAAAAACTATGGAGAAGGAGTCTTCCTTGGGCCCATCAAAAGGAATACAGGTCTGCTGATACTTTGATGTTAGTCCAATGAAACCTATTTGGAATTCTATCCTTCTTGAAGAAACTGTCATATAATACTGTGTGTTATTTCAAGTCACCAAATTTGTAGTGATTTTTAACAGTGGCAGTAGGAATCTTATACAATGGCTTTGAGGACTGACCTAAAAAGGGCAGACTTCAAAGATTTCTGGGTGGTACCTACCTACTCAAATCTACTTTTCTTCATACTGCCTTACATTCTGTACTTCTTCACAAAGTATTACCAACTTATCTGAGCTGTTAAGAATCATCTTCAAAAGAGGCAGTTTCCTAAAGTATGACCCAAGTACCACTGTTTTGGTCAGAAGCCCTCTAAGGTGCTAACTCTAATTTACAACCACTGAATCAGAATTTCTATAGATGAGGCCTGTGAATCCACAGTTTTAAAAACATGTAAAGTTACTATTAAGTCTACAAAATTATAAGACCCGGTGCTCTAACTGTACTTAATCTCACCAATGATTACATCAACTCAATTATAGTGCCTTTCTCCTGCTGTGTGGCTGATACCAGTTGCTGACATGGAAAAACTGAAATTTGGGGAGTGGGAAAATGGTTACTTCTGGATCACAGTACACCTGGAATGTAGTAGATCTTGCTAGCATAGTGCAGTTTTATTATCACGCAGCATAGACAGGTCTAGATAGCTAAGATCAAGAGAAACACCAAGTAACAATGAACAACAAGTAAGAAAGAGTGGGAGTGTACATAACCCAGGAATCTCCCACATGTGTGTATACCTAAGAGGAGGACTAGAAGAAATAAAATTTCTTTTCCTCAATGGGTCCATTGGTTTCATTAGCATTTACCAAAGTTTCTTTGGAAAAGTACATTCTGAGTCCCAACCAATCAATTTTAAATCTACAAGAGGAAGATAACTCATTCTAAAATGGGGTACCTAGAACTCAACCCTACTATTTTACAAAAGACACAGCACTTTTGTCCTGGGGATGATACACAGTTAGTAAATGGCAGAGCTGAGGCTGGAGTTTGGGAGTAGATGTCCTCTCTATTTTTAAGTTGGGTAGGAAAAATCAATGTTCTGCAGAGTAACTGTGTAGCCTGCCAGCTTCTCTTAGTGGTAACAGGCTTCTGGCCTAGGGCAGGACTCACCAGCTTTGCGGGTGTCAGCAGCAGCCTGTGTTGACGCTGTGCCTCTTGCTAAGTCCAGGTTGGTTTCATCTCTGCCTTCTCTTTCTTCAGGGACAACCATGCTAGCCTTTTCCCTGTGTGAGAAAATGTTTTCAACTTTTTAGGAGGGTTAACTTCAAAATTATGAATTTTAATCTTTTGAAAAGTGTAATACTTGAAATGTTCTACATGGCTATAGTGGTAAAGAGAATATAAAAAATAAATACATGTACATATGTAAAGATAAGTGACAAGTATTGGAGGCAGAAATAATTTCTTGCTAAATTGCTAAAGTGCCCATGGTGGGCTCAAATTTGTAATCTTTCTGCCTCAGCTTCCCACAGTGCTAGGATTACAGGTATGAGCCACCATGCCCAGCTACTCATGTATTTATTTAAAAATATTTAGAGCACTCTTGTGTGCTGTGTCTGGACCATATAACAATTCCTATTTTCTTTCTTTCTTTTTTTTTTTTTTTTGTCTTTTTCATTTTTATCAGTACTGGGGATCGAACTCACGACTGTCTGCTTGCAAGGCAGGTGCTTATGCCGCTGAGCTAAATCCCCAGCCCCTAACAGTTCCTATTTTCAAGGTAGTTCAGTATCTTATACATTATAGATTTTAGAAGACCAAGTAATGGTAACTAAGATTTGCAATTTAAAGCTACATCATGATGAGCTCCTAAGTAATAAAACTGTTATTACCACTATGTTTTTCTTATAATGAAGTAATCTCATGCCCTAATTATCCAGGATTATACTAAAAATTGAAAATAAGCTTTCTCCTTTTTTTTAAGTACTAAAGATTGAAACCAGGGTTTTTTACATGGTAGCCAAATGTTCTAGCCCTGAGCTATAGGCCAAGCTTTTAAAATTTTTTTAAATTTAATTTTTAAGCTGCTCAAGCCGGCCTTGAACTTGTGAGATTCCTGCCTTAGCCTCTGGAGTACCTGGGTTACAGGAATGTGACACCACATGTAGCCTGAAGATAGGCTATCAAATGATTTTGCAATGGTTTCTGTTTCTAAGAAATATACTCCAGAAATGAAACTGGAACTAGTAATTCAATTTTTCAGAAAATATAAATATTTGATTCTTTGCCTTTACCAATTAGCATAATCATTCAAGTTATTTTATGTAACAAATACAAAATAACTTAAAAAAATCAGATTTCTATTTCTCCTTAATCCAAAGTACTGAGGTTTCTTATTTTTGCTTTAATGTTTTCAGTATCTCCATACCCTGCATCACATTACGATGTAGCAAGGAGGTGCTGTATCACAAGTCTTTTCAAAGGACATGACTTCAAGCCTTGGTAACTGATTTTGTGATGATAGTTTTTAATAGTAAAATTAAAAAAAAACCCTTTGAAAATCAGTGACTTTCAAAATAATAGTGCTGAGGGTCTTAGAACTAATTTTTCTGCAAAAACAACTTTTCATCACCAATACTTAGTGTGCAACCTTATTTTCCTTTTATAATCTGTAATATACTGACCTTTAATTCACCTAAATACTCTGTTCTCCACCAATTCATCCCTTTCTGGTTATCTAAAATGATAGTGCAGTGTTTGCTCTGATATCACCTCCTGAGGTCTTGGCAAAACATCTCATTCTTACATTCAACTTTCTTCAAGCACAGGAATGGTGCAAATGCTCTTTTAGCAACAAACTTCAAATGTTGTTTTGCTTTTCAAAACAAACACCTCTAAATTACCCACATTTTCTGGAAAATTAAGTACCTGAAATTCTAAATAGTACAACCACCTGCCTGCTGTGTAAAACGGAAGATCTTATGGTATTTATAGTAAACAGGCAATCACTGTGAGGGTTTAGGAAAAATCATACCAGAGCTTGGCTAGAATTACATAACCTGGACTGGAAATAGTGTTTTGGCTGAAATGGGGACGAGAGTCCATGATCCCAGTTCTGCTGAGTGAGGTTTCCAAATGTGCAGGGCTTATCCACATGCTGCTATTTCTTTTTTGATATACAGAATAATTTATATAAAACAGGAGCAGCATGAGGTCCACAACACTTTACCACTATCTACTCAAGTACCTTTTCCTACATTGGGCTCCCTGATGTACCAGGAAAGATGCAGATGCATAAGGAAAGCATAAATATAAAACCTACTCCTTCAGATGACGCCCTCCACACAGGCTAACACCTGCTTTGGCTGTAACACTGTGCAGGGAAAGGGTTAGCTCAGCAAGTCTGAGTTGCTCAAGCTACACATTTCCAAGAAAGGCCTGGCTTTTTGGGTCTGACTCATGGCCGGCTCTTAGGAGATAAGCTATAAGCCTATGGAGTATTCTGCCTGATTAGAGTCTCTGTATGCCTGAGGCCTTTGGCCCTATGCACCAGTTAGATCACAGAGCCGGTGTGATTTATGGTGAATGCTGACTTTGCTCTGGGGGGCTGGGCTAACTGGCTGTAGTTAGTCACACAGATAGACTGAGCCCAATAAAAACTCTGTACATCAAGGCTCAGCTGAGTTTTCTTGTTGCGAATATTTTGTGGGCAAAGTTAGGTACACTTGTGCAACTCTACTTGGTGAGGACATCTGGAAGCTGATGTTGGTTTTTCCTGGGCTTCCTCCATGTGCCTCTTCCTTTTGTTGATTTTCACTTTAACAAGACCATACTGTGAGTAGTTTTTCTGACTCCTGTGACTCACCTTCTAGTGAACCTTGGGGTTCCCTGACATGAACAAGAGTAAACTACTTTGAGTATTCTAGCTCTTTGTGTCCATCTGTAATTTGGTGACAACTATTTCAACCAGAGAAAACTTAGTCAAAAGAGGTTTTAAAAAGAGTAAAAGAATGTTTAAGAGGTACTGCTGTGCACAGGGTCACCAGTTCTTTGCTTCTATCTCCTGAACATCACTTAAATCTGTCTTCTCTGTTCACCTAATTTTGGCTACCACCTTCTCTCATCAGACAAGTACAGGAGCCTTCTGAGTAGTCTGCACATTTCTCTGTTTTATGACAGAGAAAGCCTTTAAAAGTGCATTTAAGTCACATTTCTGCTTAGAATGCTACAATCCTATCCTGTTGCCCTTGAAGCCCTAAATCCTTGACAAGGACTCTTGTATTCCTGAGCCTTCTCTCATAACTTCGTTCAACATGACTCCTCACCCACCCTATCTGCCTGGTAGCTCTTGTACATTTTTCCAAGTACCAGCTTAAACACCCCTTTCTTCATGAAACTATTCCTATCAACTCATGGCATGGGATGAGTCTTTTAAACACACTCTTTTTCCTCTTATCTTTACTGTCACCAGCACTCTGAATGCTATTTATCACAATATTTATATTATTTAGTGTCTCTCTATTCCACTAGTGGAAAACTTCAGTAGAGCAGAGGCTTTTTATATTCACGGCAATCTTAGCCCTTTAATATCTACTCTGAACCAGGGATGAAGTGGACGCTCCATAAATATCTATTTCAGCCTTGGAGGGTGAAGGTCTAGAAGACACAGTAAGACAGGGGGTTCTAAGAGATTTGAAGAAGAAAGGGTAGTCTCTATTATAATTGCTGTGTTATACACTATTAGTAAACTATCTTCAAGAATATGTATTCATATTCTATAAAGATCCCACAGAGGACTTTAGTAGAAAATATATTTTCATAGGTTTAAGGTAATAATTGTATGACTCATTGCTGGATGAATTTATGGCCAAGCCATTTCACAATTCTAGAAGACTAGAAGGAAAAGAAGTGCATCACCGGCACACCATGCTGAGCCCCTCAGAAAGACCTGATGGCCTGGTTCAGTGTTTACTGAACCACTGATATTTTTAGGAATGCTTGCTTTCAAGTAACCAGGTTATACATATATTTTACAGATGTGCTGAAAACCCGTAAGCAGCATGGTAGGATGAGTATTTATTTTGAAATTCTGTCTAGCATCCTGGCAGGCTATTGCCACTATAAATAATTTTTGCCATCTTGTTGCAACTGGTGTACTGGCGGTGTCTGTGGCATGGAGGACTGGCCTGGCTCAGTCATATGCAGTCTAGGCCACGGTTTCCTCAAGCTTAGCTTTCCTCTAATGCAGTGACACCTGATTCAGCCCTCGCCTGGGTTCCGAGTCCCTCTGGAGGTCACGGGCCCATCCTCCTGTGCCACTGGAGTCTTCTTGACACTGTTGCAGGAGGGCGGCCACCAGATTTCTTGAATGCTTTCAGGAGTAAGAGGTAGGCAGCCAGTTTGTGACTATTTCATATATACTTTCCTTGTGTTAAACTGAAATGCATTTGGGACATTACCAGATAATCATTCAAAAGTATACACATACATTCAAACAATACACTTTTAAAACATGTTTTTGCAGAGTGATTCTATTGACAGTCATCAGAACTAGTTAGGTGTTTCCTGCTACATGGTAAAGTAGTCACTGTTCAATAGCTTGTAGACAAAGGAAACTATGAGGAGGAAAAAAAAATCCTAATTCAAAATGAAGGAAGGAAACAGCATGGAGATTCCTCAGAAAGCTAAAGCTAGTGGTTTCCTTTGACTTCGCAGTAACCTTCTAGTTATCTTCCCCAAAGAGTTAAAGGTGTTATACCACAGTAAAACATGTATACTCGGGTGTACAGCAGCACAATTTATATAAGCTAAATCTTAGTAACAGCTCAGATGCCCATCAACAGATAAACGGATAAAGAAAATCTGGAATGATATTTATGGAGAAGAATAAAGGTGAGGCACTTCTAGCTACATAGATGCACCTCAAGCCTATAACCTTAAATGAAATGTATCAGACTCAAATTTAAATATTGCATCGTTTCTCTTGTGTGAGAAACCCAAGTATAAATAAGGAGCAAAACAGAAGACAGATACTAGGAAGTAGAAAGAACTTTGGCAAATAAAAAGTAGACCAAGAGATGGGGTAGTGGGGAGTGAAGGAAAGGAAAAGGGTTTTAAAGAAAAAAATGAAACTTTTACACATGGAGCAGGGAGAATGATTAGAGTGACGGGGGGACAAAAAATAATTAAGATATGTTATGTACATGTACAAATTCCCCATAATGAATGCGATTATTATGCACTGTAAACATGTACTAATAAAGAAAAAGTTAAGGGGGAATCTTGTGCATTAGGCCGGGAGAAGAGGGGTTTAAGATAGTTTTTAGAGAAGTGTTTTACTTATATTTCTAGTGTTTTATTTTTTTGTCTTTTTGAGACAGGGTCTCACCATGCAGTTCAGGCTGGCCTTGAGCTCATTTTGTAGCCCAGGCTGGCCTCAAACTTGCAATGATCCTCCTGCATCAACCTCCTGAGTGCTGCGATTTCAGGAGTGTGCCACCACACCTGGCCTAGTGTTTTATATTATAGATATTTGCAAACAGAAAAGTAGTTTTATCATATTTCTAATACAGATCAAACTTCCTAATCTTAAAATCCAAAATGTTCTAAAATCTGAAACTTTTTGAGTACTGATACGATACCACAAGTGGAAAATTTTACACCTGACCTCACATGACGGGCTGTAGTAAAAATGCAGGTGTACTAAACTATTGTACATCAGCTATATGTGAAGCATAAATGAACTTTCTGATCACTCCTAACATAGCTTATGATATACATGTAAATACTCTTAAGACCTGAAATAATTATGATCCTAAGCACAGTTAGTATCTTACAGAGGAACACCTGGATCTTATTATGTTCTCTAGAGTTCTCATATAGGGACATAGCCTATATCCCATTAACTAAAGCACTGAAAAGCAGATGGAGATGGTAGCAGAAAAGAGGAGTGAACAAAAGGTGTGTTAAAACACAAGCTCGGGAAAGCATAGCTGGCCCTGATGTGACCTTTACCTAACCTCCTGCCTTCCCCATCTTTCCTGAGGGTTGTTCATTACTTCCCTATGCACAGAAGCCTGGCTACAGAAAGGATTTCACTCTACTTATGCTTCTCATACTAATCCTCTGTTTATTACCTTATAAGTTTTTCAAAAGCTTCTTTTTCTTTCCGCAGAGCAGTGAGATAACGTTGTTCTTCTGTTGATCCACCATATATAAGAAAGTAAACCCTGCAAGTTGAGACAGAACTCTTTTAGATAACAAACACATAACTTTTTAATCCATGAAAGGAACAACAGAACATGTGAAATCAGCAACCTAGACTGCTCAAATAATAATTAACTAAGAATAAAAGGTTCCATCTACCATAAACTTACTTAAATTAAGATGCCTACACCCCACCTGTTATGTCTCATTACCTAATGAGTTTGGCTTTTTCCCTTTCTTTCATCACAAAGGGGAACAGAGTTTAGGTAAATAGTGAAATTTAAATACTGGGATAAAATAATTCTTTCTATGTAACTATGAACAAATAAAAAACCTTGGAGTTTTTTTTTCAAATTTTCTTTGCACCTCTGCCAAACAACTGTTTAAAAAGTTGGATGGTGGTTATAAAAACTAGCTTAGGAAAGTTCATGTTAGTGAAAAGTAAATGAAATCTATATGACCTTTATCTTCATATTACTTTTTCAGTTCTTTGTTCATGCCTTAACAGAATGGAACTATCAGACATTTTACATAAAGATGCAGACAGAGACTACATATGGACTGTATCAGGCATCTGAAAAATACTTTGATATATTTATTTTTAAGAAGGCCTGGTTTTGTATTTTGTTAGTGCTGAATTAAGCATTTATGGTATATGGTCTTTATGTTCTACCAGCGGTATTTTCCTCTAAGCCTCAATTTTCCTTTGAGCTTTCATATTCCTAGATTCTATTCCTTTGAAGCAGAAACAAGGAAAGGATCACTGGACAATGAATCAGGAGTCCCCAGTTTTCTTCTGCAGATTTGCCACATGGCTGAGGCCAGGTCATTTACCATTTCTGGGTCTGCTTCCCAGGGACATAGTGAAGGGTTAAAGTCCCACATCTCTCCTGCTCCTGACATTCTGATTCAAAACAGCACACTGTTCTGTTCTCAGGCAAGAAGTGGTGTACATAAGCTATCTACAAAGTTGATCGATAGCAAAGTATGAAAAAACTTACCAGACTCTAATTATTTTACCAGCTTCATCTAATCTCTTTATCTCTGCATTATTTCTGATCCAGCTCCTTCATTCATCTCTACTTTGAAAGGATGCATTAGTTAAACTGCTAGGAAGGTTTCTTTTGGCTCAGTTTTTGGTTCAGATTGAGTTCAGGATATTAATTTTGCTGTTTATTTCCCTTCAGATAATTGGAGAGCCAGAACACTATATTCTTTGAGAGGCATCATTTGCTCATCTGATATTTCTGTAGATTTTTCATGTGATACTTTTTGAAACTCAAGAAAAGTAAGTTCAATGATTTTCCCAAAACACTTCAACTTTATGTGGACATAATTCAGTCACTTATTAAACTTTAGAAGACATATTGAAAGATTAAAATTATGCAGCTAAGCCATAATTATAACTTTTGTTGGCATTTAGAATGTTATAAATTTCCTAGATTTTTCAGATACAGTACCCAATAAGTGACAGACTGACAGATAAATTTGGTACAGAACGAACATGGCAAAGAATGCAATTGCAAACAGTCCACTAGTCAGACTATTCTGTTCTGACATTTCATCCTTGTTCTATGCAACTCCTCAGATTCAACAGAAAGCAAAGCATTTTATGAACCTAACTAGCATTGTAACAATTGAATGTTAAAGATAAGAAAATAGGCAGCTGTGATGGTTTGTGTGTTAAATCCTAAAGAACTGTGAAAATGAAAGCATCAAGAAACAGTTAATACTGTGACTTACCTCAGAGGTTTCCCTGGCCTACTTGCCCTATAAATTTCAAGCTGGCGAACAAATGTGAGCTCTGCATCATACAGAACCACATATCTTGGCTCCACTTCATGGAGAACTCTTGTCAGAGCATAGGGGTCGCTACAACCCAGAAGGGGATGGATGATGGTGAGGGGTTCTTTCAAGATTCCATAAGCAGCATCAGACGACAAATTTAAATCAAACTCTTCATGCTTGATTTCTTCCATGCAGCTTTCTGGGCTACTGCTTATTTCTCTGGGATATCCTTCCTTGACATCCTCTTCCTCTTCCACTTCTTCAGATTTTCCTTTCATTTGAGTTAGAGTCAACCTGCGTTTTTTCTTTTTGGGAATTCTTTCTTTGATAGAACCCCGTTCTTTGTGTTGGAGGTCTTTGGGCCTTTTGTTAGATTTTATAGTTCTCTTTGAACCATCCTCCTTTCTAAATTTCATCCATACTTCCTCAGCTTTGCTGTCCTTCTCAAAGGTCTTCCTGTAGAGCTGCAGTAAGAAGGCCTCTGCCCCGGCTGTGAGGTAGTCTTTCAGCTGGGCGCAGGTGCGGTCATCACTTGCACAGATTAGAACTTGACCTATAATCAGAAAACAGTTGTATGTTTCTGTGTCCCCTCACCTCTTTCTCCAAAGGCAAGACATTTACCCCTTGTAGTTCATAAATTACGCAAATAGAGTTGTAGGTGCTAATCACATGGTTTTACCTCTCTGGCAGGATTACTCAAATCATTTTGTTTTGCTTCGTTTTGTGAAACAGGGTCCCTTGATGGTAGTTCTGGCTGGCCTTGAGCTCACTATGTAGCCCAGGATAGCCTCAAACTCTTAGTGATCCTCCTTGAGTGCTGGGATTATAGATGTGTGGGATTGTATATAATGTTTTGAGTACTACTAAACAGAGTTATAGTATAATGGAGGCTTTAACTCTTTTCAATTAGTATTTTCTAGGGGATTGTATAAAACAAAATAAATTCCAAATGGATGATAGAGCCAAATGTTAAATATTAAATTATAAAAAAGTGACTGTTTTCTATCTCTCCAGATGCAGATGATTTTCCACACTTAAAAGCAACTGAACAACTCTTGAGAAGGCTGTATCTATACTTCAAGATTGACTCTGTAAGAATAAAAACACTACAATAAAAATAGAAGACAAAAAACTCTGTTTAACAACTATGATAAATGTTAATACCTTTATTATGAAAGAGCCAGTATAAACTGTAGTAACAATTTAAACTGGCCAAGACTAAGAAAGTGACAGAAGAAAAACTGCATTTGAGAAACTATTGAGCTTATTAAATATGAAAATTTAAAACAAGCAATTGTTATAAATGTTTTACACATAAAATATATGTTGACAGTCAATCTCATCATAGCTATGTGAAAAAGAGATAAGCTCTTATGTTGCTAAAAGAAATGAAAATTAAAAATATTATAGAAACCCGTGCAGTAGTATGTCTCATAAACTTTAAGGATGTTAATACCATTTGGCTCATTAATTCTATGTCCAGAAATTATTAGGTATACTATGACTTTCAACAATTTGAAGTAAGAAATATGTGAAAGAAAGCCTGGAAGGAAATATATCAAGTTTAACATCAACTGGTGGTAAAAGTAATTTTTTCCTTCTCTGTTTTATCTTTTTCACTTTTTCTATGGTGAGCATGAGTGACTCTAGGTCACAAACCTCAGTACTGTAAATGATATACTGGTGATATACTGGATATCACTAGCATATTTACTAATAGAAGGACTGAACGCTTGCCTGGATTGCAAGAGTTCAAAGACTCAATTGGTAGTTTTCAAATATTAATTTTTCTGTCTGATCTCATTTTAAAATTTAATAGTTTAGGTTTAATCTACTAACATACCCATTTTTGAAGAGGGTAGGCCTAAAATTCACAATTTTTTTGAGGGCTAGATCAGCGTCATTTCCTAGAAGAGTTTAAGCTCCTGTGGAAAGATCCTTGCTTAGAATATAAACAGAAAACCCATTAGCTTATTCCTTGGGGAGTCCAGTTTTTTTTCTCCTCCCTCCACGCCGCCCCCACCCTCCGGGATTCCAGTTTTAATGCCTATTGAATATGTATGTGGGATTAGGTGAACCTTTAAATTGAAGTCCTGAGAACAGAAGCAGTTTAAAAAAAAAAAAAAACTGCTTCATAAATATACAATGATTCAATCTGGAAAAAAATCACATCAAATGAACAGAATCGAAGTTGCTATCAGAATCTCAGTGTTCATTTGGCATTTATTCATATACATTTTATACACAAAATAGTGAATTACTTTAAAGAAGCTAATCACATTAAGGCTCATTTAAAAGCAAATGTCGTCATCTCCTGTTTTTCCTACCTGGGCCTCCAAGGGCTTCACTCTCCTTATTTTCTGCCTCAATTTCTTTTAGTACTTCAGTTAGTGCCTCCCACTTTGGGCTGCTTTCTAGGACCAGTTCCTTTTTTGTTTCTGTAAAGAGATGGAGGATGACAATACCAGCATCATTCCACACACCATTTCTTTGAGCTTTCTTTATAATGCAAGATAGAATCTGCTTTTCTGAACAAGGCATACTTATCATCTAACAGAAAGGTACTGCAACTAGCATTAATATAGGTAACATGATGCCTTGATAGGAGATTATATGCATGGTAATTAGAAGATGATTTGGTGTTAGCTTTTGACAGTAACACTATGTATAAGTTGCTACACAAAATGAAGGAATAAGTGAAAGCATTTACTATTTCCAAAATCTCCATGATTCTCACAATCCTAAACATGTATAAGCTAGGCAGAGAACAAACTTTTATTTCTACAAGCACTCAAACACATCAATAATATTTTTAATAAAATTTTGAGCTACAACTATAAACTAAGCAGAAAAAACAATTATTAACTATATTCTATACCTTAAAAAACTAGTGACATTTGATATCTAACTGGATAGTGTTGGAATAAAATACATAATTGCCTCCTCTTAGTATATTTATAACATTTGAAAGTTATAAGGAATGTTACAATGTTTCACTAAGACTTTGACTGCCAAAAACAGTTATTATTTTGAACTTTAAAAAAAAAATTTATAGTTTTTATGTAGCAGTAAAAATTACTCCTGAACACTCTTGATTGATATTTAACCTTTGTTATCTGGAATTTTCTGGCAATGGATTCCAAGACTTGCCATGCAAAATACTGTTAATATGTTACATATGTTACATAAAATGGTTAACATATGGCTGAGGGAGATTTTAAATTACATTTGATCTTGGTAAGCATTTTCACAGCAAATACTTAAATCAAATATACATTTAAGGACTTAAGTCTACAAGATACCTTGTCCTTCTTTAATCTCCATTTTTTCAGACATTTTGCTTTTTTTACTCATTTTGGCATCTGGAATATGATAAACCCTGGCTCGAGCATTTACAAACATTGAGGTGCTGGAGTCAAGAAACAGCCAACCTAATATAAAAAGCAAAAAATCAAAACAAAACAAAAAAAACCCTTTTCAATTAATAGTTAATTTTAAATAGTCTCTGATGGACACATCTTGTTTGACTACCATCTTGTTTCCTATAAACCATACCTTCTCTTACTGTTGTGGTCTCTAACTCGTTAGCTAGTAGTTTTCAAAGTGTGACCCACAGTGCATTCAGGTAGTGTTGATATTTCCTTTTTTTTTTTAAATTGGTACCAGGGATCGAACTCATGACTGCCTGCTTGCAAGGCAGGTGCTTATGCCACTGAGCTAAATCCCCAGCCCCTGACATTTCCAATGATGGTGCAAAAGCTCTATGCTGAATGCCTACGCATAAGCACTATGGTTGATGCTTTTGCATAATCTAAGACAGTGGTATGAAAATGTATTAGCAGTCAATACTTTCTTTACTATTGTGCATTTGTAGTTTATTACTTAAAAATATCTCTGAAGAATATAAATACTAACTGCATTAAATTCTGAATTGTATAGGCAAGAGTCTGGGGTAGTAGGAAAAGGCTATAGTTGGTTGGAAAACAAGATGGTGGCCAGTCATATATGTACATTTCCCTACAAATCTCTTCAGTCTTCAGTACTCTAGCTGATGAATCCTGTCCCTTGCTGCCTGTTTGAGAAAAATGAATTTTAAGATTCTAAAAGCTATACTTCCAGAACATAACCTATTTCTAAGTTGGAGACAGCCAGTACTATCCACAGTCTTTTCTAGAAATAAAATTTACCAGAATGGATATGAATATTATTATACAGAACAGAAGTTAAGTAGGCGGAAACATTAGCTACCAATAAAACCTACATCCTTGTGCAATGATCTCAATGTAATTTGAGATCTTAATATATAACATGTAGTTGAATATAGCATTACCCATACCTGCTTTCCCCCTAAAATCTAAGACTATTAAAATCAGTTCCTAGAATAGCATTAGTATTTTTATCTCACACCTGAGTTCTGACCAAAAGCCTTTTCTGTTGCTCTCAGAGACTCCAGAAGATTAAGAAATGTGACACAATCATACTGCGAGAGATACTGCAGCAAAGTCCGCAGTATCTTCAAATCCTGAACCAAGGATTTAGTCTTCGCTCCAAGCTGGTGCCACAAAGGATCCAGATAATGGCGAATAGTCTAAAACAAGAACAAAATTCAGTATTGCTACAATATGTTTATATAACCATTCTTAATAAACACAAATAAAGTTTATTTTTATTCCTAAAAATGGTTAAAAGGATATATTTCACAGTGTATGTATTTTACTATAGTAAAAACGATAAATACTACTTCCTTAGGACATGGCCAAAAAATTTCAGTTCATAAAATTCTAATAATAATATTTAGGTTTTTAAACAGAGTCTTTATGATCAGATGGGTCAGTTATCTTCATGTAGATTTACATTATTGTCAGGAAAGAGAAATCCTGGTCAACATCAGAAAATCAATTATTTTTTTATGAACCGAAGCAGTATAACTACATGACATCTCATCTAACAAATTTAATACTGAACAGAAGTAATATCTGGATGACCATATAATTTATTATTTAAACTGAGATACTGTGAAAAGAAAATGAAATACTATTAATAATTACTCCAGGAAAATAAGGAGATACTGGAATTACTAAATTAATACTAAACAAATTGGAATTAATACTAAACAAATGGGACAAATAACTACATACCTTTTCTGTAAAAAAATTTATGAAAGGTTAAATTTTTTAGTATGATACATGCTTTGTCTATGTATAGACATGTTTTTACTAAAAGAATATGAAAATGCCTTGACTATTACTAGTGAGAGGATAATAAACAGAAATCTAGTATAAAACATAGTAGGTTATATTTTGTTTTCTTAGGAACATATAGCCTATTAAATGAAGTTTTTCTTTTCTTTTTTTTTTTTTTTTTTTTTGGTACTGGGATCCAACTCACCAGTGTGCACTTCCAAGGCAGGTGCTTATGCCACTGAGCTAAATGCCCGGCCCTCTTTCTTTTCTTTTTTAAATCACCATGTACTAAATTACAATATAGTTTTCTTTCTTTCGTCTTTTTGAGACAGGGTCTTGCTACACAGTTCAGGCTAGCCTTGGGCTCACTTTGTAGCCTGGGCTGGTCTTGAACTTGCAAACGATTCTCCTCCCTCAGCCTTTACAATACACTGTTAAAAAGGAAGGACTAGAATACTTAAAAGTTAGTTTTATGTATCAATATTTCATAGTAAACTGATTTTTTGAAAGAATCAGAGAAATGAAAAGTTAAAATTTTTCCTTTTTCATATTTCTAACAAAACAGAGATTGATTCAGAGTTTAAAAGATAGTAACATGTTCTATCAAATGTAAAAATAGGGGGCTGGGGATTTAGCTCGGCAGCATAAGTACCTGCCTTGCAAGCAGGCAGTCGTGAGTTCGATCCCTGGTACCGATAAAAAGAAAAAAGACAAAAAAAAAAAAGTGTAAAAATAAGAAACTGCCTGTAATTTTTAAGTCAGTGTTTCATCTTCAACTCACTACTGTATTAGACACTTACATAGCTGGGTTAACATGAGCCTGTGGTGAAAAAAGTTAGGATAGAAATTCCTTGAATTTAAGTCTATTTTCTCAGTTCAGAATACAATTTTAAGACAGAGGAAGTCTCATATTTCTCAGTAATGAAAATTCATTCAAATTATTTTATTCCAAAAAAGAGGTAAGTTCACATGTAATTATGAAGCATTATGTAAAATTCTTCTACCTGTTGATATCCAAATATTGTCATTTCAGAGCAAAAAAGTTGTTTAGTCTCTTCCTGATTATATTTAAAATGAGGTTATACTTAAAATGTTGTTATCTAGGTACTACATAACTGCAAATGTCACAGATATGGTTCCATGCCAAACAACATATTTTTGTACAAATTAATAGATTTTAGTAAATCAAAGCAGCTGTATTTTAAATCAGCTCCAATTTAATTCCAAAATAACAGCAAATTTCTATTAAGGACATTCCAAATATTAAAATCACTTGCATTCTTTAAAATTACAACAAATTATACTTTAAAAAGTACCTTGTCAAAAGGCTTCCCAATAGCATTTTCTAATGATAAATCTTCCACTTCCAGTGATGGGTTATGACATTTCAGTTCCTTTAGACAAGCATTTAAAATATCCAGTATAGCAGTTTGGATGGCAAGCATCGCAGGTGTCATAGAAACATGAATTTCTACAACTTCAGGTTTATGCTGCTCTAGAAATGAGTTGACCGCTACATGGAATCTGAAGAGAGAAACAATTTTCAAATAATTTTTAGTTTTAACTGCTATGTATTCTGGTCCTAGTTCAATATTCTAATAGTTTTGTAAATGCAATTAGGAAACAAGACTAAAAGACCAAACTGAAGAATACTTTGGCTTTCCATGAACAGAAATATTATTCAAATAAGGCAGGGCCCACAAAAGATTGCCTGGGCTAAATTCAGGACTTTTTTTTGAAGTCTTACAACACAGCCACTTCACTGTTTTCTGACTATGGCTGCTTTTATGACTGTGATAGACTGCATGGCCTGGAAAGGCCAAAATATTTACTATGTGGATGTTTACAAGAAAAGTGTGTTGACCTCTGAGATAAGATATAATCAAAACAGGAAAAATTCTACAACTACTACTCTTAAAAGTATTGTACAACCAAAATTATACTGGCAAATGTGGCACAAATACTTGAAAATTTAAACTACATGTTTTTCCTAGAAATTTACACAAATACTTAAAAATCTTTGGGCTTTACTTCCCTGCTGGTAATCCTCAAAGTGAAAGTGGCAGTCTTGTCCTATAAATCTGCAGCTCACCTAAAGCTATTGTATACAAGGCCTCTATTTCCCTAGGGGTTTCATTAACTACATAAGAATGAATAAAGTGTCTTAGATGGATCTAACAGACTGCCAGAAAAACAACTCTCAAATCCCTCTTTCAAAAGAATCACAAATATGGTGTATTTATATCTAGATGTGTTTGTTATGGAACTGACCAGCCTCTATCAACTGCAATGTCACCTAAGTTCAGCAGATCTCTCAAAAATAACATGTTATTTACCTAGGCCACAGATACAGCTTCTTCACAAAAAGATTTCTCATCACTCTTTCCACATGACAAAAACCAGTATCAAAGGCGACAGCGTTGTCTGTGAAAGCTTTAATAAAACCACGTTTGTTTTTCTGGCGAAAGAGGCGCAAAATGAAAGCTTCCTGACAAGACTCGATTATTCGGTGGGCTCTGTACACCAAGATGCCTGAGGGAAGAGGTTATCGGTTAAGTTACAGGGTAGACATGAAATTTCGTGCTCACTTTTGTTCATTCATTTATTCTTTCAATTTTTCTAGTGTGCCTACTTGAGAAGGGTGAAGCAGGTCGGGGATAAGCAAAGAGACATAAATCCCTCTCACTGTGGAATTTTGTTCAACAACACAAGAAAGATAATCAGTCTGTTACCTGTGTTAAGAACAATGAATCAGAGGAGAGGGAGTATGCACTGAGCAGGGTTGGGATTTTAGATAAGTAGGATAGAGATCAGGAAACAATAAGAACAAAGGCCCTGGAGGGGGGCGTGTCTGGAACACTGAAAGAAGCACGTGGATCTTAATTCTCTTTTTATGTCTGACTCAGATGTGGGAGCTACACAATAGCTGCGTTTTAGAAGTCACCTATTAGATTAATTAAATTAATTCAATTTTTAGAATCAAGGTATATTTAACTGAGAGGAAAATTAGTCCATTTAAAACAAAAGCCTTTAGTGATATATTTAATGTATGTTTGTTGCGATGTGAGTAATTATACCATCTCTGAATCTCAAAGACAAGGGCAAACATACATGTTTCCTTATTTATAAATGATGATACTGGACAAGAAGATATTTCATATATCTATTCCATTTTGACGCAGTATTAATGACAAGTTAGGCAGAAATACAAAATGATTTAAAGATATACAGATGTCATTTTTTATTCAAAAGCTCAATTATTCTATGATGATTTTCAATCTTTTAGACCTCAATTAAGTTGGTTACTGTACAGATGTTGTGCTTGCATATTTTTAACCCCATTTTCATCACTTATAGGGTCTGGAAAATGATACAGCAATTTATTGGCCTTCTTATAGTTCAAAAAGGTCAATTCAGATTCTTTTACCTGTAGCTTCAATTTTAAATTAAGATGTATGAAATTAAAATAGACTCTAGCTAATCAATTATTTTTCAAATATGGTAAAAATTAATTTTGATATTTATAGCATTTTAAATAACCTTCCAATACATGTATGTAATTAACTACTTAAAATATATTCTACCCAGTAGGTGTGTTTTTATAAGAACTCTATGTGTGTACCACAATTTGTTATCTTGGGTTGAAATACTACATAAAGTTAAAAATAATACATGTGGGTTTCTAAAGAAAAGAAGAAACTCAATTTTACAAAATGATATGGTACGCTGTTATTCTTTTAGAAATCAGGAAAAGAATAGAATACTGTATCCCAGGTACTAGGCTAGATTTTTAAAATAATTTTTATTTTATTTACTCCTTATAAAAATTCTATGTGGTAGATATACTATGAGACAAAAAAAAAAAAAAAAAAAAAAAAGGTCACATAGCAACTAAGTGGAGGCCAAAGATCCCAACTCATTTGTGAACTCACATTCTTTCTACAACTGATGCTACTTCAGGACCCTCTAACTTAAAAACAGAGAATTAGCAGGGTAAGTTTTGTGGGACAGTTTTAGTCTCACAAGAATCTACTTAAAAGTTTTATGTTCCTGTATTTTCTACCTCCTATTGTACTGTAATTATATATATCTGTCTGCCCCACTAAATTGTATGCAGACAACAACATTGTAACAAATAATGATCATAAAATGATTAATATATGCCTTGATGGTAGGCATGTATGTGTTCTTTCACCTTCACAAAAATCCTGAGTGGAAGCACTATTATGGTTCCTGACTTACAGATTTAAAAACTGAGGCACAGAGGAGTGAAACAATTTGCTCAAGGACACACAGCTGAGGCCCAGTGAAGGCAAGATTAAACCTTGAAGCACTCAAACTCAAGTCTATCTTCAGAACCTTTCCTGTCAAACAAGGGGATCCTTAATTAAATACTTGTTGCGTGAATATACAGTTGAATTCTAGCACTTTGGTATACAACTGTAAGATAGAACATTCTTTCAAAAAACTTCCCAGTAAGTATTGTTCAGAATTCTAGCTGGAGATATCAGCATGAGTTTTAGTCTTCCACTATTTAGGAGTTTTCATTCCCAGTGATACCTAGGGAAGACAGGGGCGGTAATAATCGGAGGTGTGAGGCAAATTAGACAGGGCTAAAGGAATACAGTAATTTTCAGAGTATCCCAAACTTGAGAGACCGCCCTTTCACTCTTTTAGAGATTGGGTGAACACAGTTCTTTTGGGGATCCTAGAGGGTGGACTTGAAAGAATTTATTTCAGGCATTCATCCCCTCAGCCAGGTACCAGTTATAGCTTTATTACTGGCAGGGACTTGGATCAGAAATGGGGTGGCAACTTGGCACTTTTAATTAGGAAGTATTTGTATGCTAGAGTTGGAGGCTGCATGTGAAGACTGTTCTCTTACCTAATCAGGTAGTACTGTAGCTAAGTCAGAGTCATACTGACATCTAGTGGTAGTTCTCAGAAATTATTTTTCACCTTAGCAAATTTTAAAAAGTGAAAAAAAAAATGCTTTTAAGAAAACAGAAAACAGGAGACCTTATGCTGTAGAAAGACTTCTACAGCATAAAGAAACATTATTTTTTTCAATAACTCATTAGGATTTTACTGTGTATCAGGCACTACGCTAAGCATTTTATTGTTTCTCAATTATTATAATTTGAAGAGGCACGATATTCTAGATTAAGAAATGAGAAAACTGTGGTTCAGCAAAATTAAGGAATTTGTTTGTAAGCTGTGTATTAGCATTAAAAGTCAGGTCCATACCACAGTTTATAAAAACTATAAATGTTACAAATGAGTAACAAAACTTTCTCTTTAAGTAGTTCACAATAAATCATGTAAAGAATCAATCACACATTTTTTCATTAAGTATTTCTTGAGGGTCTTTTAAAGTCAGGGAAATATGATAGGTACAAGAAATGTGCTAATGATTTCCAGTTTCTCTGCCTTTTAGCAGTTCATTATTCATTAAAGAACACTGTATATCCATCCATCATTCATCCAACAAATATGTATATACCGTGTACCAATCATTTAGTCCGAGATCAACAAGTCCTTCCTTGTACTAAGGAAGCTTATTCACAAATGAGATAGGCAAATATAAAGTAATGTTCTTAGTGCTGACTGGAGAGAAGCCTAGGACTATGTGAGAGCACAGGCAGAGGCCTCCTAAATTAGCTTTGAGGAAATCAGCAAAGATTTCTCAAAATAAAAACAGTAATAAAAACTTTTCTATACTAATTCTAGTCAAAATAGGAACGATCAAAATACACAGCGAATGTCTAAATTGTAAACAAAATTTACCCCCTTACTTTGAACATACTTATCCCATCATTCTTGCCACTTTCTGAAGCACTTCTGGAAGTCCTCTTTTGTGTCTTTATGAGATATAATAAAAACATACAGTGATGCTACTGCTGAGTGCCACCAGGGAGGCAGGCTCACTAAAACATTACAGTGTGTTCTCCTCTATCTTATCAATAGATCTGGCATGGCTGAACTTCCCCAAAGTCAAAATGACCACGACAACTAAATGTTTTGAATTGATTCATCAGTGTGGCCAAAATAGCACAACTGCAGGATTTCCAGAAGTGCTTCAGAAAGTGGCAAGAATGAAGGGATCAGTATATTCAAAGCAATGGAGTGTATTTTGAGGGGGGAGTTAATAATCTTCTACTGTAATAATTTTAAAAAGTTAAGAATTCACTGTATTTTTTTATCCTATTCCTTAAAACCATTTTTCTCAAAGTAAACCATTTGGTTTAATTTCAATCATGGGGAAAATTACTTTTTTTTTTGAAAAAGGGTTTCACTACATAGTCGAGGCCGGCCTCCAATGCACAGTGATCCTCCTGTCTCACTCTCCCAAGTGTATAAACCCAAGGGATTATACACACGTACCACCATACCTGGCTGGAAAAATTACTTTTAAAGAGGGAATATTTCAGTATTTTTGGAAATATATTTATAAGTATATTTATATTATTTAAAAATATTTCAAGTCTAGTTAAGTTCTAAAAGCAAAGGCTGAGCAACTACAAATATTTTACTCATAATGACGTATCACTTAGATAAGAAGGAAAAGTCAATGTTCCATATATAGTTATGTGCCACATCAACATAACAGGTTATAGTCAGTGATCACCACTACATAAGATGCTGGTTCCTTAGACTGTAACACAGCTAAGAGATTCCTGTGTGCTAGTACAGTGGTGGTGAATCTATGGCACATGTGCCACGGCTGGCTGTTTTGTCATCATTGAAAACTCTAAAGGGGGGCTGGGGATTTAGCTCAGCGGCATAAGTGCCTGCCTTGCAAGCAGGCAGTCGTGAGTTCAATCCCTGGTACCGGTAAAAAGGAAAAAGACAAAAAAAAAAAAAAAAAAACAAAAACAAAAACAAAAAAACTCTAAAGGTTCGTCATCACTGCCCTATTGGATACTATAATGTCACAGCACAATGTGCTATTGATTAGTCTGTGGTAAGACTGGTGTAAATGAATACACTCTGCTGTCAGTCACATAAAAATACAGTAATACAATTATGTATAGTAACTGGTGCTTCATAATGGTGATAATAAACAACTATGTTCTGGTGCATGTTTTTACCATACTGTGTTTTATTTTTTTCTTTTGTGGTACTATCCCTGGGTTTTGTGCATTAAGTGCTCTAACATTGAGCCACATTCCAAATATTTCTATTTTGAGACAAGGTCTCCTTCAGTTGCTCACAGTGGCCTTGAACTTGAAATCCTTCTACCTCAATCTTCTGAGCAGTAGAGATTAAATGTATGCACATTTAGTCTTGTCTATATTATATTTTTTATTTTCAAGTGTACTCCTAACTTATTAAAAAAAGTTCACTATAAAACAGTATTTGGTTACACTGGCAGCCTCCTATATCTCATGTAACTCATGTAACTCTTGATTGCGTCAAGAGGCAACATCTGATTGACCTATAACATCCAGGTTTGTGTAACTTCACTGTGATCAAACAACGAGGAAAAAGCCTAATGATGCAGTTGTCACAATGTATTACCACCATTAAGTGACCCCTACTTAGATCATGAATATTTATTGACCATCTGCAAATTGTTAGGCATTGTGACAACCGCTGGAAGCACAATTTCCTGCAAAAAGATCCAACGATACCCACAGAAAGTTCTACACTTAGCAATGGGGACAGACAAAATAAAAATGTACTCATTTATATACAAGGAATAACATTTCAAATTCTTACCAGTTATTAAATCTGAAGGTATTCTATCAGTCAAAAAATCAACCACAAGTATTCGACTTGTTGCAAATATAACACCACCTTGTGTGTAAACCTCATAGCGACCATTACTTGCGATTTCATTTGTCACACGGCGAGGGAGGTGATCAACTCCATCTATCTTCAGCTGATTGATAAAATACTCCTAAATCAAATCAAACTCATTAGAAGAATAATCTAAGGCAGTTTTTAAGAGGTTGCAGGTACTTAAAATGAAGTCTTGCCTTTCTCAGAGATAATGAACTTAATAGTAAAGACAGAAACTAAATTACTACTTTATATCAACAAACCAGTCTACATTTAATAAGGATTTCTTTTTGTAGTTTACACTAATAAATAACAGCACTTCAACTATCAGCAAAATAATAACAAACAAAAACTTTCAAAGTTTGGATTAAAAGACTCTGGCTACCCAGAAACGACTTCCCACCAAAGCCAAGTTTGCAGCCAAGTACTCTCTGTGAGAAGGTAACATGGGAATCCTTTTCCCAGATAGTATTTTAGCCGCTTCTGTGTTGACCCATCCTAGCAGTACTTCACCATGTTAACAAGTCCCTTGCCAGTTATCCCTCCTGTTTAGCACTACTTTTGTTGGGTACATGTATTGTGACAGGCGCCCCCACACCACGCACTGGGGATACCAAGGTGAATCAACAGGGTCATTGCCCTCAAGGTCTTTGGGATCATTTTTCTCAGCTGACATTTCCGGCCACCTGCTCTATCTAGCACATCATCAGACTTGTCAAAGCCTGCTGGGTTCCCTCTCAATGCGCTCCCAGCACAGGTGTGTTCCCATTCCATCTTCCAGAGCCTCCCCAGTGGTGAAATGTCTTAGTGCTCCAGTCCCTCTTTCCTACAAGGTCTTCCTAGCCTCCGTGTCTCCCGTGGTTCCATCACTCCGAGACCCCCTCCATTGTTCCTTTCTACAGATCCCACTTCTTTGATCCTAAAAGCATAATACTCAACTTCGAGATTCCGATCTTGAGTCCCCTTCTGACAACTCCTCCCTTGCAAGGGCCTCCAATCCACACCCCCTAGCCCTCACGACCCCGTCCTCCAGGGATTCCCTGACACCCCTCGGAGCTCCTCCCTCTTCCAGTGTTCTCCCACTGTCAGGGACCCGCGTCTCCCTCGGGGACCTCAACCCTATTCAACATCCTCCTTCTCACTGCAGGGGCCGCCTCTCTTTGGACCGCCCCATCTCCGAGCGAGGCCTGATATTCGCGCCACGGTTTCTGTCTGCCAGGGAGGCCCCATGCCCTCAGGTCCCCGCACACGCCGCCGCACCTCCTCGGCCGGCTGCGTGTTGAGCACCAGCACCAGGCAGGCCGGGTGGCAGTGTAGCCGGAGGAAATGGTAGAGGAGCCGGTCCGCGCCAAGCCCTCGGGCGCACACTACCAGACCGTCGGTGTCGAGCAGCTCCAACACCAGCTGCCTCTCATATTCTAGCAGCGGCGCCATAGCGATCCGACGAGCCGGCAAGCCCGACTCCATGGGCGCCCTTCCGGGGCCGCAGGCGAATGTAGGCGAAAAAAGCCGAGCTGTGACGAATGTTGGCCGGATGTAGCCGAAAACAGCCGAGACTGAGAAGACCGGAGCCGGCCGAACGAAGCCGAAGAGGAGGCGTGGCTGAGACGGAGGCTGGCGGAACGCGGTTTGAAGAAAGCCGAGGCCCTGATGAATGTAGGACGAAAGGAGCCGAATCTAAATCAAGCGTGGGCCAAACGTAGTCGAAAAGAGCCAAGTTCGAGCGTACGCGAGACAGCCGAATATAGCCGAAGAGCAGCCGAGGCAGAAAGAAGAATGGACGGAAGGAAACCAAAATAATACAAGAGCTGGCCGAATTTACCCGAAGAGTAGCCGAACGGAACCGAAGATTTTGGAGTGCTTAGTACCAGGGTCGCCTCCAGAGAAAAGGCTCCATCCCTACCCTTCTTAGTTCCACATCCCAGGCACCTGGACTTTTTCGAACATCAGCTATAACCAAAACAGCAGCAGCAGCAGCAACAGCAGCAAGAAGGACAACAACACAGACGAACAAAGCAACACCTAAGTAGCCTCATATCGACAATTGAAAAATTTAACTGTCAGTTTTCCAAAGTGTACCTAGGATGATGAACACCTTTTTCCCAGGGTGAGGTTTGGTCTTTACTTTTGTATTGGCCTTCCTCCCCTTAAATTTTTTTTTTTAAAATAAGCGAATACTTTACTATTTTCTGTCTGCTTCGAAAAGCCTTAGTATAATAAATTATTTAAAACAGTCACAGCTAAATATGCGCGCAGCAGCCGCGTCCTGCCTTCCACTAGAGGGACCCCTCGGGTCGTGTTTGTGCCATACCTGGACAACCCTTTCCCGGTTAACCGAATAAGGAGCGCTATGTTGTGACCCTTACATTCACTTTCATTGTTAGAGACTAGGAAATACAAGCAAGCAAAAAGGGTGAAAAAGAAACCAACAAAAAACCAAATTCTTGTTAGTCCATTACCCAGAAATAATCACGTTTAACGTCATGAAAACTCTTAGTTTTATGCTTTTGAATTTTTTTCTTTAACTACACAAGATAATAAACTGATCAACCCCGAGTCTGTCACTAATATTTGGCAAATGTCTGAGCAGGGTCTTTTTTGCAGCCATTGAGATTTCTTTAATGTGGGTGTACAATTCTTAAAGTCCTAATTCGAGGACATTGAGTTTGTTTCTGCTTTCTCTCTCAACACTGTAAATAATATTTAACAAATATCATTATAAATAAATTCCCCATGGGTTTAAAATACATTTCTAGAAATAGATACTTACTGAGATAAACTCTATATAAGTTTTTTCATTACATTCGCATTGCCATATTACCCTTTAGAAAGTCTGTACCAATTTACATGCCAAGCAGATTACGAGAGTCTGTTTCTCTGTCTCATTGCTGCTTAATCCAGTATTTTGCTTAAGTTTTGTCTAAATGAAAACAGCACATAATAGTCCTGAATTCTGCTTAACTGGAAAGAGATTTCAGCAAATACTTTGCATACAGCATTTCCAGAAAAAGACACACACACACACACACACACACACACACACACACACACGGTGTGTGTGTGGGGGAATTAACCCTTGCAGTAAGGAAAGTGGAGGCCAGGAAGGGAAAAGTTGTGTAATTCGGGCAAGGACAGGGAGCTAGATAGTGTACTTCTTAGATTTACTTCAGGATGTGGAGACAGGGATATACAGATATGAAGGAAATGTATGTTGAACTGAACTGATAATGCTGAAATTTAAAGCTGATCCCAAACTGTGATAGAATAATCGTCCCTGAAATGCCCAGAACCTGTATGTTACTGACCATGGCAGTGGGAACTTTATAGATGTGATTGAGCTAAAGATCTTGAGACAGGAAGGTGATATTGGATTATATAGGTGAGTCAAAGGGAAATCAAGAGTGTTTATAAGGGAAAAAAGGTGATGAGGAGTTGCTTCAAAGGAGATGTGGCAGGGAAAGTGAGGTTGGAATGCTGTGGAAGAAGTTATGAGCCAAGCAATGTGGCTTCAAAAGCTAAGAAGGCCAAAAAAAGAAATCTTCTCTGGAGCATCCTTACTGACCCATCCTGGACATCTCATCTCTAGAACTGGAAGTTCAATAATTTGTGTTGTTTTAAGCCACTAACTTTGGGGTATTTTTTTACAGTAGCAATAGGAAAATAAATACACAAACATTTCTTATTTCTATTATACTGAACTTTAATCATGAAATCTTAGATGATTAAAACAAAATAAAACAAAATCCCCATAGATGGCAGAATACAATGAGACAATTATTTTGGAGGATGGTTGGTCAATATATATAGAGGTTTTAAATATCTCAATAGATACACCTGGAGATATATTTACCCAGGAAATGTTTATTTGGCATCCAGGGTGTCAGGCATGGTACTACATGCTGGCCATGGACATCAGTGGACAAAATAGGCAAGAGCCCTGCCACTATAGTGCTTGTGTTCTGGTAGAAATGGTGTGTAAAAATATGTCTTTTCATCATATTGTTGTGTGAACTATTATTATTTCTTGCACATTTCTTTTACATCATGTGAAACTAGTTAAAATTTCTCTTTCATCTCTAGTAAGTGTATTGTCATAGAGATATTAAGAGCTGAATTAGGCTTGAGGATCTAGCTCAGTGACAGAGCCCTTGGCTAGCATGTGGGAAGCCCTGGGTTCATTCCCCAGTATAACAGGGAGTGGAGGGAAGCTGAATGTGGAAAGATACTCAACCCTACTACATAATGAAAAAGCAATTGTAAAACAATAACAGCTAGTATTTATTTAAAAACATCAGCAAATACGATTTTCATATGGCTGCATCGAAAACTGAAATGAATCAAAATCTCTTTAACCCAGCAGCTCCTTTGTGAATCTGAAATAAGCATCAAACCTTTACATTTCAGTTTATTCCCCTCTGTTCTGTTTGACTTTCTTGTCATGGACTTACTTTGCTTTTATAATAAAAATGAAAGGAAAACTTCCCAGCTACTATATAAATACTTCATGAGCACTAAAATTTATTACCTTGTGAATGCTAGACTTAATATGTATGTGATGGACAACAGTTAATGTCAAATACTGATATATGAGAAAGCAGATTTGTGAAGTTTAATGGATTGTATCTGCACATTGTATTTTTGTACCTAGGTGAAAGTTTTCAACTTGCAGGGAAGGTTTTTTGCGTCTCTATATTCTGTCAATAATGATTCTCAAAACTTTTCTTAGTTTTTTAGACTGCTGTTGATTTTTTTCTTAAATCCTTTGATCACTAGAGCTGTCTTCTTTCTTCTCTAAGCCACTTTGGTAGTTTCATTTTTCCCCAGAGGGAGTCATACCAAAGGCCAAAGCTTTGGTAGAAGGCTGGAAATGAGGAGAATAGTTTTCCTTCCTCCCCGAGTCAGAATCCACCAACCTCCGTTCCCCTCAGTTAGGCCACTGTCATCTTTCTCAACAGCTTCAGTCTTTCACTATAGTATATAAAACTATCCCTTGTTACCCAGGAGGAATTGGCTCCAGTACTTTCTACAAGTAACATGATATGCAGATGCTGAGGTTGTTTTTTATAAAATGGAGCAGTATTTGCATACAACCTTTGTACACCTTTCTGTACACACTAAATCATCTATAGGTTACTTATTATACTGAATACAATATAAGTGCTACATGAATAGTTTTTATACTGCATTGTTTAGGGAATAATGACAAGAAAAAGTCTATGTATGCTCTATACAGTTGGATTAAAAAAATTCTTATCTGCAGTTTGCTGAATCCAGTGATTTGGAGCCCACATATACAGACAGCTGGCTGCATGTGTGCAACAACCACTAACACCAGACGCTGGGCTGGAGGCTGAGGATTCAGGGATGCACAACATACCGAGGTCTTCCCCTTCCTGGGGTTCTTCCACAAAAGGAGGCCATTAGCCAAATAAGCCAGTGTTTAATAATACAGTGCTATGAAGGGAAAGAATAGAGGTCTTGAGATGTATGATAGGGAAACTTCATCTAGTCTTGCTGTCTGGGAAGTGTTTCCTGAGGAAGTGATATCTGAGGACAACTTTGAAGGCTGGCTAATCAAGGGAAAAGGGAAAAAAACTTGTCATGGGCAGAAGGAGTTCAAAGTAGAATTTCTCCAAAATAGGGAGCCTAATAAAGGAGCAAGTGATCCCCAGGTTCAACTCTTCTCCATGAGGGCAAAACATGGAGTTTGTAGAGTCTGCCATGGTAGCTTAAGGACTCAGGTGGGGCTAGAGGTGAGGGTCTTCCTTCCTTGATGAAACTGAGATATAAGTTTATGTATTCCATAAACAAATCTTTTTTTGGATTGTGCTATGTCAAGCCTGAATAGGAATAAGCATGACAAACGCCAATCACAGGGTCTGTTAAGTGCTTACTCTATATGAAGCACTAGATGAAACACACACGTTCATTTTATTCATCAATCCTCTGAGGTAAGTACTACTATTCTATTTTGAAAGTGAAGAACCTCAGAGAAGTTGAATAGCTGGCACAAAGCTACCCCGCTAAGCATGAAACCTTGCCCTACCTATCCCCTTAGATGTCTGATGCTGAAAAGCCTTAAGTGCCATCCTGACTCATTTACACTTGAATGTGGGGTTCAGATGATTTTCTTTCTTCCTGTGCTAATGCATTCCTTTAGCATACAGTCAACATGTTTTGGACATGGACAACATGTTTCATGCTGGGAGTAGAATTTTTAGGTCTACTAATTAAGACAGTTTTTCCCCACATATTGCTCTCAATTCAATGTTTGTCTCATTAATGCAGCAACTTCTACAAACACTTGAAGGTTTTATTTTGTCCTTAAAAGTTCTATTATTTATTCTATTTTCAAAGAACGGCTGATATAGACAGAACTGGAGAAACAGGTGTGTATTACATGGGGCTCTCCAGAGCAACAGAACGTTTGACAAAATATCTGAGTACCCCATGACCCAGTCAAGTCAACACATAAAACAAATCATCACAAGCTGTAATATCTCTGGAGCCCTGCTCCAAGATGCGGTGCCCTTATGGGACCTATTGGTGTGTATCACTGACCTTAATTTTCTGAAAATGAAATTACCTGTATTCTAATGCCATACCATAGGTTCATCGTAGAAGATCTTTTGCTAACTAATTATTACTGAGAGAGACACAGGGAAGTTAAT